AAGCTCTAAAGCTTCCAGAATTAGTTTTCCTGGAGCGAAACCAAGTGTTTCACTATTTGACTGAAAACTTATATTCATAGATCTAGTTATAACACCTACTCGCTCGAATAGAATTCAAAAATTTTCAACTAATTTTTTCGACACTGGTATGACTTTTTGAAAATTGTCCCAGTGTCGAGAAAACAACTGAAAGGGCTTTTATATGAAATATCACTCGACCCTTCATTTTTGTAACAGGATATTTCGGTTACATGGTATAAAGATCTCTTTAGGTTGCGACCCTCAAGTTCCCATTTCGGAGCTAACTTCAAGGTCCTTACTTTTTAAGATCTTGTTATAAGACCTACTCGCTCGTTTTGCTAGCTCGAAATTAGTTTAGAACTTTCAAACCAGTTTTTCTCGACACTGGAACAGCTTTTTAAAGTTGCCTCTGTCGAGAAAATGACTGAAAAGGCTTTCTGAATGATATATCACTCAACTCATTATGATTATTTGTGTTAACGGATTTTGCGTGGAAAAAGAACAAAACTAAATTACACCCGAAGACAAAAAGTTCTTTCCAACTCAATGGTCGGAACAAAAAGATATTTCGGTTACATGACCACGATCCTTTAGGCTGTGACCCCTTATTCCCCATTTCGAAAGAGCCCCGATGACCAAAATCACCCACATGATAAGATTCGCTAATCAAATTACGATGAAAAACCGTTCTAAGTATGAAGAAAAAATTTTTGCCCTGAATTTTTTTCTCTTAGTTATGTTGGTTTGAAGATGGTCAATTTGCCTTTTTGTGATAATTAGCGTGCGCGAAGTTTTCACGTTTGAACTAACACTTCGGGCTTAGAAAGTTAGACGAAATTCAATTTAGACACGACTAAAAAAAATTATGGCGCAGTGCAAATCTGCATTTTTTAGATAGTTGACGTTCATTTTTGTTGATTGAATTTTTTATTTTATGTGAAAACTGATCTGAAAACAAATCAAAAAGATATCGAACGTGTACATTTGCGCATTCTAAGAGTGTTCCATGTAATTCAGGTTTGGCGTTTTTTTTTTGTTGGATTAATATGATTAATTTGGATCAGATAGTCTTCTGTTTTTTTTTCTAGTCTTATTTCAATTTTATTAGCTGCGTTCCATATAATTGTTGTCTAATTTCGTGTGTCCCTTAAGGAGTTGATCATGAGGCTCAAATTTTAATCCAAATTGACTTGAAACCAATTTTATGTTGGTGGGCACAAATACGTCACTCTGTACTTAACATTGCGTCTGGGATAAAATTACCAAAAAATAAAAATATTCTATTTAAGTCTGCCTTTTTGTAAAAGTTAAATGAAAGTTACGTTAAACAACAATCCGAAATTTTCTTATCACACTTAGCTGCCTTTTTGGCAATTGATGTTGCTTTTAAGCTCTAATTGATTTTTTTTTCGCCAGGTGTGATTTTGTTTTTATCGGTTTTCAAATTTCTGTTTTTTATTTCAGGAATTGGTTACGCTCAGCGTATTTACAGCCAACGATCCCAGAAACTTCATTCGCAAGAAGAGTTTGAAAAAGTATTGAAAATAAACTTGGGTGGTACTTTTCGAGTGCTTTCGCGATGCGTCGAAGCCATGGCTTCGAAAGAAATGGAAGATGCAAAATCGGAGAGGGGTGTCATCATCAACACTTCCAGTATCGCTGCTTCTGAAGGCCAAATAGGACAAATAGCTTACGCGGCTTCCAAAGGTGCAATTTCAAGCTTGACTTTACCAGCAGCACGTGATCTGAGCTCACTTGGAATTAGAGTAATGACGATAGCGCCTGGGATAATTGAAACTCCTCTTTTAAGAGGACTCCCTGAAAAGGCAGTGGATCAGCTGATTGCAAATACTGTGTACCCACCACGTCTCGGGAAACCAGAAGAGTTTGCTCATTTGGTACAAAGTATTTATGAGAACTCGCTTTTGAACGGAGAGGTAATAAGACTTGACGGAGGAATGCGAATGCAGCCTTGATTCTATTTGACCAATGGTATCAGTTTAATTTCTCTTTCTTGCCTTCCTATTACTGAAACGCTGAAGTAGAAATCTTATTTATGTGATGTCTGCAACTTGTTTTCTGATAAATTAGAAATCCACTTGACTTGAATTTACCCAGAACCAATAACTGGTTGAAAATTGAAACCCGAAATCGTAAGTATCCAAATGTAAGAATTTGCGTTAATTATCTAGTGAATTCGCTAATATAAGTATTGTAGATTGTCGTTTCAATTAGGATATCATAGATAGATTTACTAATTGCTCAATAATTTCTAATGCTTAATGAAACTAGTCCAAAACAACTTTCATATTACAAATATTTTGGTTCAAACAACGATATCGTTTTTTTTGTGTGTTCGTGGAAATCGTAAATTACTAGAAGCTACGTACTACAACTGTTTAGTATTTAATAAAAAAAACTATTTAAAGTAAATCAATGCATAAATTTGGTAAGTTTTCTAAGTTGTACATTCTGCATCGTTGCCTTTCCATGAATCAAATAGAACGATTGATATAGCTTTCGTTTTTTATAACACTGGGATTCTTGAAGATGTCGGATAACAGATTGCTTTTAAGTTTTTCTAGGAACGGTTTTATAGTAGAGCAATCTTCAAACAGATGAGTACAGTTCTCGAACTCATACATACAGAAAGCACATTATGGATCGGTGTTTAAATTCCTATTCCATAGAACGTCTTTATCTGGAAGGCAATTGAAAAGTAGACAGTAGAACAATTTTTTTGCTGGTCAACCTTGGTTGTCTCCACAACTATGACGAAATTTCAAAATTCAGTTTGGTTTGTGCAGCTCTTTTCGATTCTTTTTTTTCCAACTAATTTCAAAGTGAAAGTTTTCAACGCATGCTACATGAGAGTATTTTGTTCTCGCGAGAATGCTCATCATCCAACCTCGGGAATTTTTATCTCAATACTTTAGTCATTTAAAGCATTGATACTGAGTTCTGAGTTTTCTAGATCTCCATCTAGTTCTCTGTAAAACATGCTTTTTGGATTATTCCAGTTTTCCATTGAGAGATATTTCTGCAGTGGCCCGAAGTTGAAATAAGCATTTTGAAAATCTTAGACTTTGGCAGCTAAAAGATGGGCCTGCAGGCTGGGAATTTTTACTCCTCTTTTGAGCGTGTCTCGTTCAAGGAACTGCAAAGCTATTTCACATCTTTGCCAGCTCCCCAAATAGTTTTTCTGGTAACTTCCTTGTAGAGTTTAAGAACATCTATCGAAATGAGATTGTGTCTTCCGATATGAGTTATATGTGGTATCACAAAAGTGGAAACAGCAATAGATTTTGCTTTCTAACTCATGTATCGATTGAATCTGATCTTGTTATCTGAATCTGAACTTCCTCGTTATTGAATCTTCTTGAAAGTTTTGGGTCTACTAGTACTACTCCGAGGACTTTTGCTGTTCTAACTGTTTCCATATTTGGATGATCGTACAGGCTTAAAGACTTTGATTTACTTCGATTAACTCGAAACTTGGTGCCTTTGCATAAATTATCAAGTATTTTGTGTTGCAGTTGAACCTCGTCAGCGCGAGTGAAAACTGTTAGGTAGTCAGCATCCGCAACACTTCGTTTTTCAGATTTACTCAATTAAGTTGCTTGTCATATTTGGTTTAACAGTGGCTCGAGAGCTAAGATAAAAAAACCGGGCCGATAATGGGCATCCTTTTCGGACTCCTCGTTCTGTTTGTTTTCCTTTGAATTAAAACCCATTAATTGCAACTGATGACTTAGAGTTGCAGTACAAACTTTCTATCAAAGATATCAATTGGCTTGGTCAGCCAAGTTTTTGTAGAAGTTGGAACATGTATTTCTGATCGACCGACCCTATCAAAAGCTTTGGAAAAGTCGATCGTTGAAGCGACCACATTGAGTTTTGATTTGCGGAGTCTTAATCGGATTTCAAGGATGGCTTGATTTATAGATCTATTGGGCAAATTCGCATGTTAATCGTTCTCAATTACTTCATTTAAAACTGGCTTTTAGCTTTTCAGCTATTACATGTGACAGGATTTTCTAGTCTGTGTTTATCAAGCTGATCGGCCTGTGGTCATTCGGTAGGAGACTCTCAGAGTTTAATTATGGCTTGTTGAAAGACTTCGGCGTTTTGGCGAAACTAAATGCAGATCGAAACAATGGTAAAAGTATATTGGCTAACGAGAAGGCATGTTGCTGATATGACTCAGATGTAAGTCCATCGGGACCTGAGCTTGTTCCTTTTCTAAGTTTACTTATTGTCATTTCAATTCCACTTGAAGTGGAGCATTAAGACTTTCGATGATCTTGTCTGACAATTTTTTTGTTAAAACTCTTTAGGATCTCATACCGATATATGTCCATCACTTGATCATCTTTGTAAAGGGTTTCGTAGAACGATGTTGTTTTTTCCAACATTTGTTGTGGTTCAGCTGTAATAACCCCAGTTTGAAGTTTCATTTTTCCGATGACTGAAATGGGTTGCTGCTGCCTTGACCATCTTTTAATTTCTTTGGGGTTGCCGTCCTGAAGCTCTTTGACTTATTTGAATACATGTCAAAATTTTTTGACATTCTTCTTTGTTCTCTTTTTTGGAATTGAGATCGGAGTTCAACTCTTTTTTGATTGCTTATACTCAAACATTCAAGTTGGGGTTCCAACATTTGTTTGTATTTCGTTTCCAGTCTGATTTTCTGTATTGAGATGTTTCGTAAAAACTCACTCAATTCTTGCTTACTAATATCATAGTTTTCAGTTGTCCAATTTTCAAGATGTTTTTCTATTGCGTTTTTGTTATTTGGCAGAATGTTGTTATTTAATCTTCAGATACCTTGGCCCATGTCCACTTCGGGTTCTTGAGAGTCGTAAAGATCTAGACTTTAATTTTACCTAGCTGTAACTTAATGAGTCATCGACAGCAGTACTGTTTTGTGGGTATAATTTATCGATGAAGACAATTAGAAAGATTTTGTTTTCAGGTAGAAATGATGCTTCGTAGACGATTATTTTTACTCTCCTAAATATTTCAATTCTTTGTTAAAGCAACTCATTAGTTGCTAGATCCATGTAATAATTGGATCGAAAAAGTTTTGAAGTATTCTTTTTTATCGAAGTTGCATCGAACAAATAATTAAAAAGAACCACGAGGAATATTCCTAAGGATGGACTCACGAGATTGGGATGAGCTGAATGATGAGACATTTGCGTCAGACGTTTCAGATGAAGGCGATGACGGAATATCGGGATGGGAAAGTGGTCATTACGATTTCGTTTCCCAGCAACGAGCAAATAGAGCCCATCCTGCTCAAGCACAAAGAACCAAGCAAAGTGCTTACGAGGAACCAAGAAATGATTTTCTGGAAGTAGCTGCTTCAAGTTTGTTTCCTGGCGGCAATGTCAATTTTGCGAATGTTTTTCCCCAATCAACTCCTCAAAGGATCCCACAAAGTAGCGGATCGTCTTCACGCTCTAATAATGACCCCAGTCAGTTATTTCCACCAGCTCCTGAAATTCTAAGTGGACCCAATGCGAATCAGCAATTCCAGATTGATGACGAGAGACACTACTTTGACCAAAAATTTGCAAAAAGTTTCGAAGAAATTTTTCTCGAAGACAAGGAAGATTTGTCTGATGATTGCGATGATGGAATAACTATTCTGAACGCCTCTGACTCAAATGGTGGGCAAAGAAGAAAGAAAAATGATTCCGTAAGTGAGTTGTTTCCTGACAACTTCAAGTTCTCACCGCCGTTGCCGCCTTTGAATTTGGCCGAGTTTGGAGTGCCAGATACCTCTGGAAATATTTGGAATCCAGAGCAGAAAGAAAACGATACCGATTACATTAATAATCACATTAAAGCACTCCTAAATATTAAACCAGAACTAAATCAAGGAACTCAAAATAGCAAGAGCTCTGAAAAACGTAATGCGTCCGAAGTGTCGAAACAGGTGTTTACTCTGGAAGAGTTGGAAGGCGAGGTCGTCCAAACATCAAACGACGTCCGCGCGCCTCCGCCGACTAGCAAGGAAAACCAGTCACAGCCGAGGATGATGCCAATCGGAACACCTCCAAGCGATACTAGCCAAGTTCCGCCATTGAGCTTCGCACAGTTCCAGCAAATGGTTCAGCAAGGTGGTATGCGGCATCTACGAGACAACCCACATGTGGCCGCCGCTGCATTGAGTTTCCAAAATCAGATGACAATGGCTGCCAAAATAGGTATAAATAATCCAGAAATGTTGGCAGCTTTCTTCAACAGAAACAACCAGCACGCGCCTCCTGGCTTTATGGGGCCTTCTCCGCCCGCACCTGGCCACGGAGGACATTTTCCAAACAACCAGTCTCAGCAACACATAAGCAGACAAAACCAACAGCAAATGCGAATGCCCATGCAGCAACAGATGAGGAACTCTGTTGGTGTACCCTTTCCTCATCCCATTCCCCAGGGTGGCAGACAGCAAAACAGGGGAAACATGCAGCAAGGGAGAAACTACAACAATCAGAGGAGCTTCCAGCACCGAAACCAGAACAGAGAACGAGAAAAGATAGTTAAGGGGTTGATGACCGAAAAGGAGGTGGAGTGGATATTCAAAGTGCAGCTGATGCAGTTGAAAATGCAGGACGTGTCTGCCGAGGACTTCTATTATCAGCAATGGAAACGGAAGAGAAGCAATAAAACCAACCACGCGGACACAGAAGAAACCGGACGGAGTACATCCAAGTCATCAAAAGGGAGTAAAAGTAGAGAAAGAGCAAAAAATGAGGAAGCAAAGGATAATCGAGGTCAATCAAGTGAGCGCTTAGGTCCACAAGGCTTAAGCAAAGATCCCATGAGCTCATCTAACTCTGCGTCTACAGATCAGAAGATTTCCCCGTCTAGTTCGAAGGCCTCGGGATCTACGCCCGCTAATCGAAGCCCTCCGTTAGGAAATCCAGACAGATCAGCACAGGCTGCTGAGAACTCCGCTAACAAATCATACGAACCGACGCGATTTGAAAACACGCTTGGAAAGATATCGGTCGGTTCCATTTTCCAGCCGAGAAAACTAATAGATCTCGATTACGTTACACGAGATAGAGCGGTCACGCTAGATGTGATGAAAAATAGCTCAACTTCTTTAAGGGAAACACGCAGATACAGAGAGCATCTACTATACGTCGAAAAGTGTCTGACCATTTTCGACGACTTGCGAAAACGAAGGTTTCAAACTCTCAACGAAGATCTGGGTCCAGAAGTCAAAGAAATGTATGAAATACATGAGCAAACGCAAATGGAGTTCATTTTGAAGCACTTCGATTTTAATAATCTGGATGAGATTGTGAAAAATATGCTACTGTGTGGAAATAAAGGGTGTCGCTTTCTTGGCGAGTTGTTAACCCGAATCTCGAAAGACCGTCAGATTCTGCTGATGCTATCAGTATGCTCTAACTTGTACACGCTCATCAAAAAAGAGTCGAATTCAGTTGGCGGGGATTACAGGAAAATTGGAGCAAGGGATACGATGTACGCAATTCAGCTGTGTAAGAGCTTCAAAGGGGCAATCTCTGATCTGGAGTCGAACATAGATAAGCTGGAAATGCTCGAGATTATGGTGTCTACTGCCAATTGGAGAATATCCAGGTTTACCCTGACTCTGTTTTTAGTGCTCTGTACATCAGTTGCGGCAGATAGGAGCTCGGATAAGTTTTGTTTTGACCGACTGGTCGAAATCTTGACTGGAATCGAAGAAAGTCTCGGAACCACCTCTAAATCTGGAACTGCGAAAGATCTGAGCTCCAATGTTGATCTGGATAAATATGTGACAAGAGAGGCCTCCACTGCTCAGATGACGAGGAAAGCGCCCTTCTATCAGTTTGTGGACCTCAACGCAGTCCGAAAGATGATCAAAAATATAGAACTCGAGAACAGTAGTCAGTCAAAGTTTCCCCTCCTCTCTCAATTTCTAATGCAAGAGAACTGTTAGATGAGTTAAATAAAATGGCGTAATTGAGATTGAAAAGGAAAATACATTTAAAGTTAGTATTATCTCAGACTATAGAAGCACTCGGTAAATGACCTCAAAATAATCATTATCAGATAATCGGGAACGAGATTTTTTCTACAACTTGGCTTCTCCTTTCGCTGAAACATGGGTGTGTGGTATTGGGTTGAGACAAGAATTGAGCGACAATAAAGCGATTACAATTCATCTTGTAATTTATAAAAAATATATATCTCTAATTAGTTTATCGCTAAAATTATCTCTTGCTCAGAAAAAAAACTTCACATTATCCTGGTGTCCGAAAAACTTCTCTAGTGAAACTCAAAGCTACGAAGAGTGCACTTAAAAAAACGAAATATGTTGGTTTGTTTTGCTTGCGAGTGCAAGTAAACTTGTAATGGTGGAGTTAGACTTTTCTCATCAATAGCTTTTCTTATAAATCTGAAAGAAATTGGCCATGTTTTATTATGAAAGCTCAACCTATTTCAGGCCCATTTTCGCCTTGTCTAGAAGTATTATAACAAGCGCCTTCACCACATAAGATCCAGATTTCGAGTCCCATCCGGATCGTACTCCTATTTTTCGCTGAAAATGGTTTGGCTTATGCTCTGTCGTCTTATTTACCTAGTTTTGCATCGTTTGAAGAGAAAAATAGATTATGCTTTGTTTCCGGAGTGGGGCGTAAAAACTACGAATTTTTTAACTCGATGTTTTCTATGGTAATGTTTTGTTTTCGGCGCAAGTGGTCAGGGGCGGATCTAGGGCGGGTTTTAGGTCGACCAAATGGATTGTCTGAGCTCTTCCAAATAACTATAAAGACCATATTTTGACCAAATTGAAAAAACATGTCAAAAAAGGCGGTTTTAGGCATTTTTTGGAAAATTTTGATTATAGAATTGCGTTTTTTCGGCGCGAGCTTGCTCAAAATTAGTATATAATGGCGCCTTTAGCAAAATTTTAGTGTCAGTTGGCCAAAAATGGATATTTCAAAATAGTACATACGGGGACCCTTCGGGTCAGCAGGGGGTCGAATCTTTGAGAGGAGGTGGCGTTTTTTCAGGTTAACAGCTTGCTTACCAAATGAATCAGTTGACAGCTTAGTTTATAATTTATTCAAATAAAGCGTCCTATGCTGTACGTATCGCGAAGGGGAAACGGTCCATGGTTCCCTTCCTGTCATGAACTTTTTTTTGCAAACTGAAAAGTTATCAGCATAAAAAAATGACGGACTATTGTGTCTGCTGGTTTTTGTTGGCTTTCTTGATCTTCCATCTCCCTTTATTAGCGCATTTTGAACGAATCGACTGGCTGGTCAAAAAAGTATCCATCATTTTCTGAGTTTTATCTCAGTTTTACGACCGAAAATTGGAGTAAATGTTTCAACTTTAAGCGTTTTAATTCAGTCCAAAAAGTTCTCCTGTCTGCGCCAAAAAAAATCAATAAATGAGCCCAGCATTTTAGGGTTTTGAGCCAGGTTGCTGTTTCATGAAGTTATAACCCAAAACAAACAAAAAAAAAGACGGCGGTTTTCAGAATCTTTTGGTGCAATTCGGATGATCCAACCATTCCGAAGAATTATCAACGTTACTCTGCAAAATATTTCTAAATTTGTATGCACGAAAAGTCGTCTACAAGTCTTCAATGAAAAACAATAATTCTGAGAAAAAATAGTTTGTACAGTTTTGATCAGGCCGAACGAACATACAGGATCCGAAGGAGCCCACTTCTTTAGTGTTTTGAGCCTTTTGCGGTTTCATTAAATTCTGACACAAATTGGAAACAAAAATGATGTATTTCAGATTTTTTATTAACTTGAATAAAGAGACTGTTTGAAATAGAAAGACATTTAACTTATTCTCGTTTCGCAAAACAGTTACTACTTGACTTATTTTTTTGAAAATGGTAGTGCTTCAAAGTTTCTAAATGTTATTTTTTTGAGAGCGAGTGCAGGCTGTACTCAGGGTGGTTTTCAGGTACAAAGTTTTCGTTCGTTGTTCCGACTAGGTGACATCGTTCTAATTGCTTGAGTTTTTCCCTCGTAAAAATTTTGAATGGGTCGTTACCACAATCCCAATCGTTTTGTCATCATCATTCATTTCAACCCTTTTCCTTTGACCATCAGAGACTGTCAGGTACTTCCCTTCAATCATCCATTGATATGCTCTGACCTCTGTCTCAAATGGCATAAAAATTGTGTCAGCTCTTTAAAGTCAAATCGGCTGACTTGATGCCCTATGTGTTGAGAGTTGACAGATATGCCCATTTTCTTGGCACCAAGTCGACAATACGTTTTAACTCGTAATACACCATCAATTCTTTCGACGGTAATGCTTAAGTCAGCCTCGTGGCCTTCTGATTTTGCTCTTTTCTACTTATTTTTTTTTTGGGATAGGCGTCAGTGGTGGTTTCGATGTTAGTGATGTGGAATTATCCGATTAATTCATGTAGAAATCGAATTCAAATTTATTATGACGAAGAAGTATACTCCAAAAATTGCGCACATGACTCTGGACATTGAGGAGGCTCATAATAACATGTAAGAATTCTATAGAATCTCTCTTCTTCCATAAAGAACATCTCTTGGCGGCAGTAACAACGTGTCAAATACTGACGTTAGCAATTGAACTGTTGTACAGATGTTATGTGATGCGTTTTCTCTGGGTTCTGTGCTCAAGTGTTCTACAAGTCAGCTCAGAAAAGGAGTCAACTGTGCAGTCTAACAATTCAATTATCTCCTGACGATTAGTATACGTTTTTCACTTCAATAATACGGGTCATGGTCTATTTACTTCCTGTTGCATAATAATTGCCACGAATGCTTTTTTCTTAAATATCAAGTATGGCATCAGATTCATTAGTTTACATTAATAGAAAATTCTTAACCTCTGGGTTACATCCTTTCAAATATAAGAAAGGTTTTAGCGACATCATCATTATGCAGTTTAGAGATTAAACTTTGACAAAATACTTTGATTGTTTTTCTTAAATAAGCTTTAGGAAGATTCCATCTTGTGATCAAAACTGATATGAGTTTTTTATTTTAGTTGCTAAACTAAAAAGTTTGAAGGGCATTTGTGCTGGGCAAACATTTCAATTTCGAACAGTTGAAGTATTATTGACGTTGATTTGGTATTTACAATTTGTCAACAAGAAGTTTAGCGAAAGGTCAGTTATTCCAAACAACGTCACACTGCCCTGCTGAATAGAATTTGTCCGCCAAATAGAAAATAAATACACGATGAAGTTGGTTCTTTGAGAATATATTCCAACAATATAATTAAGTCGTAAAAAAATCGTCAAGCAGAAGTTGCCGTCATGCGTCTTCATTTCAATAAATATATCTAGTGGTGTCACTGTCCTCTCGTAATCGTAGAAAAAATAATACTTTGATCGGTTGAGTCAGTCGACTTTTTTGCCACGTGAGCCACAAAGTCATTCCACATTTACTTATATTTTACTTCAATAATTTACTATTTAACATACATTTTTGCTCGGGGTGAGTCTTATTGATTTACTTTCTTCTAAATTTGTCATTACTGTTGTTTGTCTTGTTTGTGGTAGTCTTTATTCGATTATGTCTGTTTTAAAAATGTTCTGAGTGTTCAAGGTGCACGGCCTGGCACAACCCCGACTGTCCAAGTCCCCGTTGCTTATACCTTGTTTTAATGTTTAATTATTAGACATTTTGTGCACGGCTTAGCACAACTCCGATTGTCCGAGTCGCTGTTGCGTACCTTATTTGTTAAACATTTTGTTCTATGTATTGTTCAGCAGTTGTTTGTCCTAGATTAATAGTTTGTACACTAGCTAGTGATGGCACCCTTGTCACTGCTGGTGTTGCATTTCCCTTGAAACGTTCTTCTTCATTTTTCGCCATTGCAAGAATGATACGAAGCGTGATTTCGTCAAACACAAGTTTTTGGTTGTCCGTATCCAATTTCACGTTTGCATGTCCTGAGGTGTCCATACACATGACAGGTTTCATTGGTATTTTCGTTTTTTGATCCTCTCCTTTCAAGAACTGGGGTACAAGTCTTCTTACTCCACTATATCTGTGATATGCCCAGAAGAACAATACATGAAGGATCATCGACAGTAAAAACGAACTCAAGCTAATTGTGATCGATTGTCTTAGGCTGTCCAAGTTATCAAAATGTCTTGCTAGGCTTGGTTTTAGAGTTTTCATTTCTGTCGCTATTCGTTTTGCAATATCTTGTAAAGTCTCGATGTTTGCGGTTGAAGTTACTCTCGTTAGTTTTTCTCGCACGTTCCTTAGCATATCCATGCTCGCATCCACTTGTCGATTGTACGTTGGCATCTCGCCCACTGAAGGTAGCGTTCCAATCAAGTGAGCCAAAGGGTCAGGAAGTTTCACGTTCACTTTGGCCGCAGGAATATGCTCACAGCTGTTTAGATCGCTTCGTATCTTGATGTTCGGTCCCATTATCTGTCTACCGCATTCCAGCGAAATAGGCAAATTCTACAGCCTTTGAATTTTCGCATCGTAGAATCGGACGAAGACAGGGTACTCGTTTCCATTAGACTGTATCCATCATGTGCTGAGGTGATCAGCCACACACCAAATCCCGAGTTTTGTGCTTGTTCTTTCACTGGAAGGAACATCTTCTCTGTGTCGCAAACCTTCAATGCGTCCAGTGTGCCTTTAAAGAACAAGTTTGCTAGGCAAGAAGATTGTCCCATTTCCGTTGCCATGTTCTCGTACATATTTGATATTGATTTGATCCAATACATTTGTCTAATTGTCCTTGGCTGATGGCTACCTTTTCCATCTGGTCCTCTGACACTGCTAAAAATTCCGCTTCTATCTTCCATTTTAGTGCCAAGTCTGGCTCAGGCTGAGGCATTGGTATCGCATAGCTTATTAAGGATATCCTCTATAAGTAATATGTCACTTAGACTTTAATCTCTTCAGATTCATATTAGGCCCGTGCTGGGGTCCCCTTGATGTTAAGATGACAAAAACATAATTATTAGTACTATAATTTTATTGCAAAACCAACCAACTGGTCTTGATGTTGGTGGTATGATTTTTTGTCGTTAAACAGTAATCTCAAAATAAGCGAACGAATAGAAAAAACATTAATCGTATGACAATTTATCTAATTCATCACAGTTCAACTATACGCCTTCAGCATTTATTCAAATTCCTGACATTTGTACTAAATGTCACACTACCACCCTTTAAG